AAGAGAAGCAGTTCTGGGAATTTGCTCTGAAGTTTAGAGATGTTCCTTTGTGGCCAAATCTTGGCCCAGTTTGTCCTGGGAGGGACTTGGGGACTTGTGAGTGCCCTTCATGGCTGGAGAGGGTGTCGGGGGGGAAGGGTACAAAGGCACACAGTTTTGAAGCCTCTGGCCTCCCAGGCTGCTGTTTTTCCAGTCAGTTCAAGAATGGGATGAAGAATCTAAAAGTGTCAAGAAAGAAATCTGAAACCTGCTTATTAATTCCTCACTTTCTCCTTTGCCATCTTACTCTGAATGGCTCACCAGGTCCTAGAGGCTGGAAGGCGGCTATTTAAAGTTATAAATGTGCTGCTAAATGTCCTATTATACACAGAACAACCTCTACAACGGAGAATTACCCAGCCCCAAATATCAGTACCACTGATGATTCAGAAACCCTGGTCTAGATGGAGCCAAGTTTCCAGCTATTTCCTTCAAAATGATGGGCTGCATGCATGCAGTCCCTCTGAGGACCACGCCCCAGGCTGCAGAGCTCTCCTTGAGGTATGAGGCCTCAAAGCAGTTTCTTTCTGTAATATAAATTGTTTGCTGCACTGAAATTCAATTTAATCTAAATAACAGAACCATCAATTAATTAGAAATAAACAGGCCAGGTGAGGTGGCTCATGCCTGTAATCTCAGCACTTTGGACGGCTGAAGTGTGGATCACTGGAGGTCAGGAGCTTGAGACCAGCCTGGCCAACATGGCAAAATTCTGTCTCTACTAAAAATACAAAAATTAGGTCAAGCACCATGGCTCACGCCTGTAATCCCTACACTTTGGGAGGCCAAGGTGGGCAGATAAGCTGAGGTCAGGAGTTCGAGACCAGCTTGGCCAACATGGTGATACACCGTCTCTATTAAAAATACAAAAATTAGCTGGGTGGAGGTCGCCTGTAATCTCAGCTACTCGGGAGGCTGTGGCAAGAGAGTCGCTTGAACCTGGGATTCGGAGGATGCCGTGAGCCGAGATGCACCATTGCACTCCAGCCTGGCCGACAAGAGTGAAACTCCATCCTCCCCCCAAAAAAGCCAGGCGAGGTGGCACACGCCTGTAATCCCAGCTACTCAGGAGGCCGAGGAAGAATTACTTGAATCCACGAGGTGGAGGTTGCCGTGATGCAGTGAGCCAAGATTGCGCCACTGCACTCCAGCCTGAACAATGGGACTTTGCCTCAAAACAAACAAACAAAAAAACCAATCATTTGCTCAACACAAAGTCCCTACAGTGGTTTGTTGCCACACTGCTCACATCTCTAGTCCTTTAGGACAAAGAAGCTGAAGACGGGAAAGCAGAAATGCCCAGGAAGCCAGAAGTGATCCCACTTTGAGTTTATTTCATGTGATTCTTCTTCTCAGCATGCAGTGAACTTTCTCGGGAGAACTTTTCTTTGCTGCCCCGGTTTACGTTATAAATTAATTTACAAATATAGAGTTGTGCTAGAAACAATATTTATATAAGTCCATGATATTTTCATATACAAAAATATTCATAGAAAGCATTTTTTGTACACATACTATGGGGGTAGGTAGTCTTTGGTTGTCTTTCTGCATAATGTTAAAAAAGGGATGGTGATGTCATTTTTACCTCAATAAGCTGTTTAAAAAAATAATTTTCAGGCCGGGCGTGGTGGCTCACGCCTGTAATGCCAGCACTTTGGGAGGCCAAGTGGGTGGATCACGAGGTCAGCAGATCGAGACCATCTGGCCAACATGGTGAAACCCTGTCTCTACTAAAATACAAAAAAAGGTAGCCAGGCATGGTGGCGCGCGCCTGTAGTCCCAGATACTCAGGAGGCTGAGGCAGGGGAATCACTTGAACCCGGGCGGCGGAGGATGCCGTGAGCCAAGATCGTGCCACTGCACAACAGCCTGGGTGACAGAGCAAGACTCCATCTCAAAAAATAATAATAATTTTCTGCATATATATTTCAAAATAAAAAAAAATTTTAAATAATGCTGTGAGAGTCTCGGGGTAAAAAATACACAGGGAATTAAATTTTTTTTACAACGCGATTCTGTTATTGTTTCTAAAAATGTTAAAACCCCAAACTAGTCATGCTCATATCCAAAAACAAAGGCAATTCATGGGACGATAAATTCATTCTTGTAGAACACCGTTCGCATAAATTTGACAATTATCTGCATTTTAATGAACACTTTTTTTTTTTTCCTCAGAGCCTGCAGTGGCAAATGAACTCTTTTTGAATAATTTTTTTTTTTCTTGAGACAGGGTCTCACTTTGTTACCCAGGCTGTGGTATAGTGGCATGGTCTCAGCTCACTGTAGCCTTGACCTCCCAGGTTCAAGTGATCCTCTCACCTCAGCACCCCCAAGTAGCTGGGACTACAGGTGCACACCACCACACCTAGCTAATTTTCATATTTTTTATAGAGATGGGGCTTCACCATGAGCCCAGGCTGGTCTCAAACTCCTGGGCTCAAGTGCTCTTGCCAGCCTGGGCCTCCCAGGCCTTACAGGCTTGAGCCACTGTGCCCATCCTGAATAAATTCTGTCCTTCAGTAACTAGTGGAAGAGTGTACCAGGCACTCTGCTGGGTACCTGAAGGTTGATTATAAAAATTATTCAAATGATATCTTTGAGAAGTAAAAGAGACTCATCACCAATGGTCAATGAAAAAAAAGAAAAAGGAGTAAAAGAGAGTGCTAAAATAAATAAGATTAAATATCTTTTTAAAAACTGACCACAAATGGTTTATTGTATTACAAACTATAAAATCCCATTTCTTCATTATTTAAAAAATATTTTGTAGACAGAGTCTTGCTGTGTTGCTCAGGCTGGTCTCAAACTCCTAGACTCAAGCTATCCTCCCACCTCAGGCTCCTAAAGTGTTGGAATTACAGGTATAGACCACTGCACCTGGCCTAAAATTCCATTTAAGAGCATTTTTTTTTTTTTTTTTGGCTGGGCGTGATAGCTCATACCTGTAATCCCAGTGCTTTAGGAGGCCAAAGTGGGTGGATTGCTTGAGCCCAAGAGTTCAAGACCAGCCTGGGCAACAATGTGAAACTCCATCTCTACAAAAAATACAAAAAAAAACTAGCTAGGTGTGGTGGCGTGCACCTGTAGAACTACTTGGGAGGCTGAGGTAGGAGGATGTCTTGAGCCCAGGAGACTGAGGCTACAGTGAGCTCTGTTTTTTTTTTTTTTTTTTTTTGAGACCCTCCCCATCAAAAAAAAGAATATTAAAAGTTTAAAAATTATTTTAAAATAACAAATTTAAAATTTTACAAATTAAAAAGTTAAAAACAATTTAAAAAAATTAAAAAATTAGCTAAGCATAGTACACCCTTGTGAGCCCAGCTACTAGGTGGGTTGTGGGAGCTGAGGCAGGACCATTGTTTGAGTCTGGAAAGGTGGAGGCTGCAATGAGCCAAAATCTCACCCGTGCACTTCAGCCTGGTTAACAGCGGGAGACCGTCTCAAAAACCAAACCAAAACAAAACCAAACCCACACACACAAGCTATTTTTAATAAAATTCTAGTAATACTTTGTGAGAAAAGAAAATATTCAGGATACAAGCTAAAAGGGAGATGATGCTGGGCTAATGATGACAAACTAGGACAATGGTCACCCCAGACCTTGGACTGTGGCAACAGGATTCAGACAGAGGTGCTGCCCAGGGGGAATGCACAAAATGACTTTTATTTCAACTAGAATCTTTGGTCAAACGAGATTTAGCTCCATTTCTTCCCTCTATATACTTAAACCTACCTACGGAGGATGGTTTCTTGGTTTTGCAGGAAGTAGAACACAGAAGTCACAAGCACCAGCTCTAGAACCAGACTGTCTAGGTCTTATCCTGGCTCCAGTTTACTATCAGTCTCACCTTGGAAAGTGGTCACAACTTTTTTTTAGCCACCTGTGCACATTTGAGCTTGCAATCCTGGTATACAGTGATGATCAAAATAGACAAAGTAATCTAACATCTTGGATTTTCATTTCCCTCACGTGGAAAATTGGGGGTGTAATAATATCCACCACCCAAAAGGTACTGAGAGGATTCAATGAATTAATACATGCCAAGTGCCTGTAATAGTGCCAGGCACACAGGGCTGCTTGTTTCGTTGCCACTAAAATATACTATGTATCAGACAGAGGTAACCCTGTGAGTTACCTATGTATAGCTCAAAGATTTATGGTGTTGCCTAGGACAGTATAATAAAAATAAAAATTTAAAATTAAAAAAAAAAAACACCACTTTAGAGGCAAAAGAAACAAAGTTGTAAAAATTCAGATATCTCGTTCTATAAAAATCAGAATACTGGCCAGGTGCAGTGGCTCACGCCTGTAATCCCATCACTTTGGGAGGCCGAGGCAGGTGGATCACAAGGTCAGGAGTTCAAGACCAGCCTGACCAATGTGATGAAACCTTGTCTCTACTAAAAATACAAAAATTAGCTGGGCATGGTGGTGCGTGCCTGTAATCCCAGCTACTCGGGAGGCTGAGGCAGGAGAATTTCTTAAACTGGGACCCGGGAGGTGGGGGTTGCAGTGAGCGGAGATGATGGCACTGCATTCCAGCCTGGGCTACAGAGCAAGGCTCTGCCTCAAAAAAAAAAAAAGAAAAAAAAATTAGAAAGCTTAACACAATAATCAGAAGTAAAAAAAAAAAAATCATAATGCTATCCCTTCTCCGCCTTTTGGCTAAGATCAAGTGTAAAAATCATAATGCTGGCTGGGCGCAATGGCTCCCACCTGTAATTCCGGTACTTTGGGAGGGCGAGGCGGGTGGATCACCTGAGGTCAGGAGTTCAAGACCAACCTGGCCAATATGCAAAACATTAGCTGGGCGTGGTGGCAGGTGCCTGTAATCCCAGCCTCTTGGGACACTGAGGCAGGAGAATTGCTTGAACCGGAGAGGTGGAGATTACAGTGAGCCGAGATTGCTCCATTGCATTCCAGCTTGGGCAAGAGAGGGAGACTCTGTCAAAATAAAATAAAATAATGATAATGAAATCAGAATGCTGCCATGTGAGAGAGAGAGAACCAGCTGTTCCCAGCAGCCTTCTGGTAGTCTGTCCCATCCACCCCCTACGGCTTCAGTTACCAAATGCTCTTAGTTTTCTCAGCCAGTAATTTCATTGGCTTATGTTTTTTTAGCTGTCTGTACACACTTGAGCTTACAACCCTGGCATACAGTGATAAACAAAATAGACATGGTCCCTGCCCTCATGGGGCTCACAGGCTACCTATCACATAAGAGAGTGAGACAGATTTCTCTCTGGAGAGGCCCACATGCAGAGAAACCTGTAAAAGCTCACTGGTTTGTAGAAAGAGTTATCTACTACACCCTTGTTACTCCAAGTGTGGTCAAAGGACCACGAGATCGCCCAGGAACTCAACAGAAATGCAGAACTCAGGTCCTGTCCCAGACCTACTGAATGGAATCTGCATTTTACAGCATGTCTGCAGGTCTCAGGTGTGCATACTCAAGTCTGAGGGCCTGCTCTACACCTCGGAGCCTTCTCGGGGGTAGATGAGGCTGTTGACCATGCTAAAGTTGTGGAAAGGGCTGCTGAAGGGGGTGCTTTGGCCCCCGCTGGTGCTGGCAGGGAAAGGGCTGTAATAGGATCTCTGGCTGGTGCTATTGCTGGTGCTGCTGCTCAGTTGCAAGGTGTCTGCCGAGGCCTCTGAGATGGAGGTTGGGGGGAACATGCCGCTGGAGGGCAGCTGGGCCCCCTGGATCCCTAGGTGGCGGCTGCCAGGGAGAGCCCGCTGGTTACTCACGTTGCTGCTGACACTCAAGGAGCTGAGGCTGCTGAAGAAAGTGTTGAGACATGGGGTGGAGGTGAGCATGGGTCCTCCAGGAGATGAGGCAGTACTCTTGGTGTCCTCCGGAGGCTCTGGGGAGTGGGAAGGCCTCAGCAGACTGGAAGGGCTCTCTCCTTCTGGCTTCCCACCCACTCCAGACCCCAGTCCTGAGGAGAGCCCTTCTTCCGACTTTGATGTCCCGGCAGCCACTGTGGAGCCATTGCTGGGCTCAGAGCGGCGCTTTCGCTTCCGCCGGAAGTTCCCGTTGTCAAACATTTTCTCGCAGTTCGGATCCAGAGTCCAGTAATTACCCTTTCCTGAGAAGACGAGAAAGACCAAGTTAGAAGGACCTATTTTATGCCTGTACACTCAGCTTCAATTCTGGGGGCAGGAGTGCAGATTCTCATTAGATGCTGACAAAGATGCTCAATTCACTCTAATATTTAAATCGATCCTCTTTTGGGGGAGATATTACTCTTTGCTTCAGGGAGAAATCTGGAACACTGATATTCTGGCCACCTCTACCTCCTCCTGGTAGTGTCTACTACTTAAAGATCTAATTCCATTTCTGAGACACTTATAATTAAATCAGGTAACACCTTTACTAATTCTAAATCCAAATTGTATGAAATTGCAAAATCATGGAATTCTGATGCTACTTAAAGTTGATGCTAGTTAAAGTTTAGACTGGGCCAACATAGTGAGATCTCATGTCTATAAAAAAAAAAAAAGAGTTGAGCCTCTGTTCTTTATTTATAAAATAGAGATAAGGATAGTACCATTTAGTAGATTGGCTGTGAGGATTAAATATTTCAGCATAGTAGCTGGCACACAGCAAGCAGTGCAAAAACAGTACTTATAGTTATTATTCATTGAAAGTGCATAATTCCTCACCTCTGAGAAAAATGCCCCACTGGGGAAAGGCAATCTCAAAATGACAAAAAATTACTGCTGAGCAATTGTTTTAACCATGCATTGGATGGCATACATTTTGACTATGAAGAAGCTCCTGGAATCTACAGCCCCTCCTCATTTTGGCAGGTCCTGTTCCTACAAATCCTGCAAATGTTTCACCCATTGAGCAAAGAAATTTCCAACACCAAGACCTCATTTTTCTGCATGTAATGCTAGTTTTGTTCTTGGAAATTTTCTCTCACTATTCATCACAAGTGAGGTAGAAAAGATCTATCATCTTGGAGGATTTCACCTCCCAACAGCTTTTTTCACTTCTGGCAAAAAAAATCCGAAGTTTGAAAGTACTGTAAAACATTTATCCTGTGATAAGTACTTTACACGGATAACCTCAGCTACTCCTCACAGCTTTATGGAGATAGGCAATATTACTGCTTCCACTTTTTAGATAGGAAAACTGGGGTGCAGACTGGTTAGTAACTTGCCATATTCCTAGTTAGCCATGAGAGTCAGAATGTAAGCAGACTGGCTCCAGGCTCGGCATTTTAAAAAAATTATTTACTTATTTATTTATTTATATTTTCTGAGACAGGGTCTCCTCTGTCACCCAGGCTGGAGTACAGTGAGTGGTGTAACCTTGGCTCACTGCAGCCTTGACCTCCTGGCCTCAAGCGATCCTCCCACCTCAGCCTCCCAGAGTAGCTGGGAGGACAGGAGCATACCACTATGAATGGCTAAAAGATTCAGCATTCTTGCAGGGCAAGGTGACTCATGCCTGTAATCCTAGCACTCTGGGAGGCTGAAACGGGCGGATCACTTGAGCTTAGGAGTTCAAGACCAGCCTAGGCAACATGGGGAAAGCCCAACTCTACAAAAAAATACAAATTAGCCAGGCGCTGTGTCAGGCACCCATAGTCCCAGCTACTTGGGAGGCTAGGCAGCAAAGCTGAGCTGGCAAGGCAGAGGCTGCAGTGAGATGGCACCACTGCACTCTAGCCTGGGCGACAAGACTGAAACCCTGTCTCAAAAAAACACCTCAGCATTTTTAACTAACCATTGGGCTAAGCTGCCTCCACTGAACCATGTTCTGCAAATAGTTACAGAAAAAAAAGTTATATAACTACAATTTCAATAATCTCTCCACCTATCTGGATATGTGTATTGTGCCACGTTGGTACCAACTTCTTTGACAAAAAATTAGCCATAGACCCTTGAACTTTTAGCGTAAAGTCCAGAGGAGTTTATATGACAATTTACATGATAATCTTGGGTGACACAGAAGTCAAATCAAGAGGATCCAGGATCCATCTTCTAGAACTGCATACACTTCCCCAGTACAGTAGCCACTAGCCACACATTACTATTGGGCACTTGAAATACGGCTAGTCCAAGTCGAGATGTAGTGTAAAATACACACGGGATGTTGACGACACCTGAGAGGTGGAGGTGGAGAAACGATTAACGAGAAGAGAGAAACAGAGAATACTACTTGAGGTTTTCAGAAGAAGCCCAGAACGAGGAAAGGGAAGGGGTCGTGACGGGAAAAGGGGAAGAGAAATGAAAATAACAAAGAATCTCATTAGTAATTTTTATACCTGTTATATGTTGAAACAATATTTTGGATTACTTAAAAATTAACAGTCATCTGTGGTTTGCACTGTATTTCCATTGGAGAGCATTGCTCTACAGTGACCTCAGGGATGAGCTCTTTCTGAGCTCCAGAATATTCACATAATTTACACAAAATCCTGGAACTCTGTAATGTGCAACTAAAATGGTTTCATTTCTCTTCCCTTTTCCAATCCCCTTCCTTTTCCTTGTTCTGGGCTCCTTCTGAAAACCTCAAGTAGGATTCTGTTTCTCTCTTCTCGTTAATCATTTCTCCACCCCCACCTCTCAGGGCAGGTAAGAGAACACTCATTCCACAGCCTTCCTCACTCCAGGAGCTACTGGGCTTAAACCCAAAGGCAGCAAATCTGGGATATTCATTCTAAATTTCTAACTAGTTAAGGTACCCAAACTGCAATTTGCAGGACCTCCCTGCTAAAGTTCTCCCATCCCAGATCCCTGTCTCATGACGCCCATGCCACTATCTCTAGAGGCAGGCACGGTATTTGCTCTGCTCAGGACACAGAGAGCCTCTCTGGAACCCGATGAGGAGGAAGTGTACCTAGGGGCAGCCTGGCTGGTCCGCCGTTCTCCCACCTTGTCTTCTGCGAAACTGACAACCATCCCTGATCTGAGAGCTCACTTGTAAGGAGACCCTCCCTTCAAAAGGCCTGATGAACACCACCCAGGGGTAGCCTCCTGTTCGGGGATATGGATTTTTTCTTTTCTCTAATTGGCCAGCCTCTACAAGTGTAGATATAAAGGTCAGCTCCTTCCTCACCAAGTCTTCCTTCCGAAGATCCCCTGCTACTTCCCTTTGTCCTCTGGGTTGGGTGGTTGTTCCTCCACCTGCTCCCACCCGCAGCCTGGACGAGAGTCCAGGCAGATCTTTTTCTGGCCGCACACCAACCCCTGCGCCGGCCCTCACGTCCAGCACCTGCCCGGCCGCCCTCACCTGGGTCGTCCTCGTCGCGGGGCACCTTCTTAAAGCAGTCGTTGAGCGACAGGTTGTGGCGGATGGAGTTCTGCCAGCCGGCCTTGCTGCGCTGGTAGAAGGGGAAACTGTCGGCGACGAACTGGTAGATGTGGCTGAGCGTGAGCTTGCGCTCCGGGGCGCTCTGAATGGCCATGGCGATGAGCGCCGAGTACGAATAGGGCGGCCGCACCATCTTCATCAGGTCCTCGCGGCTGGCCATGGACAGCCAGCCCAGCTCCCCGGCACCCGCGGGCGCGGCAGGCGAGGCGGGCGCGGCGGGTGCGGGCTGTGCGAAGGGCCGCTGCGCGCAGCCGAAGGTGCCGGCGGCGGGCGGCGGCTGCAGAAAGGGCCCAGCCGCGGCCCCGGGGGGCGGTGGCGGCGGGGGAGCGCCCAGGTACGCGGCGGCTGCTGCTGCGGCTGCGGACGGCGGGCCGCCCACACCGGGCCCGTTGAGCCACAGGTAGGGGTTGGCTGCTGCGGCCGGCGGCGCAGCGTAGTCTGCCAGCCCGTAAGGCGCCCTGGCGGCCGAGGGGGCGCCCGGGGCGGCGGCGGCGGCGGCGGGCGGAGGCAGGCCGGGCTGCGAGTACACTCCGAAGTTGTCGCCGCAGTAGAGGGCCATGTCGGCGGCCGTGGGCGGCTGCGGCGCGGCCGCGGCGAGGGGCGAGCGGGGCTGGTCTCGCCGCTCGGGCGAGAGCATCCCTTTAGGGGCCAACCCTGCGGCTCCGCCTCCACCCGCGCTGGACGCCCGGTACTCCGGGCCGGGGTCTGGCGGGTGCTCGCGGAGCGCCCGCGAGCCGGCCTCTTATAACCGAGCCCGGCGCGGCTCCTCCCGGGCGGACCCGGAGCGGGGCGGTGGCAGCGGGCCTGGGCTCTCCACGCCCCCGCCACGCCCCACCTGCCCGCGCGCCCAAACCCCTAGCGCGCCCGCCCCGCCCCTGCCGCCCCTCTGCCGGGGCCCGGGAGCCTCGGGAAGGCCGGCGCCTCCAGGTTTCGAGCGAAAAGCAGCACCCCATTCCTATCCGGCGTTTCTTAATCGTAATAAGTAAAGCCACGAACATTAAAACAAAGGGAAGAGGACCCGAACAGTACGAATGATTTCTAAAAAGTTAACTTGGGGTGGCCGCTCGGGCCACCTGCCTAGTCCGCCTTTGGCTTTTCTACCTCTTTCCTCCAAACCTTTTGTGATCGAGTTGCGGGACTCCTGTCCAGTCTCAGTCGATCGGTTTCCAGTCGAAAATAATCGATGTAATTTACAACGCTTTGGGGTATACAGTAGGGTTTATTAACTGCCCCCCACCTTGGCGTATCCCCTTCTCCTCGAGGATTCTGTGATCGGAGGAAAAGAAATCGGTTTTGAGTTTTTCTAACCAAACTGTACGTTCGCTCACATTTGGGAAGCATTTGTTCGTTTTTTGTGCGGTTTGTCTGGGCTTTCGTTGTGATTTGCTATCTTAAAAAACATAAGGGTGAATGTTTTCAAAGACATTTAAATAAGTAACTTCGGAATTAGCATTTTAAGCACGAAAGTTTCAAAGCTTTAAGTAATTTAAACTGCAAGAAGCTCTCATTTACAAAAACAGTCTCATCTAACGGGCAAGACTTGCCCTCTACTTTTGCTAAGTTTTTTTTGTTGTTGTTTTACTTTTGCTAAGTTTTTAAATGCTTCTCTCTGCCGGGGAAAACAAATAAAACCTGTAAAATACTGTGGCGACCTCGCATTCCGCGTAATCATTCTCGTTTGGCTCGAAACAACAATAAGAAAACTGTTTCTTTTACTATTAAAAGTATTCCTAAATGTGTTCTTAATATGTGACAGGTTTGAGGTTCTCATTTAAACGAGAGGGAGAGGAAAAACTATTTGCCAATTGCCCACTGGCAGTTCAGAATATTTAATCATTCGGAAACTTCCCTTCTCCTCGAGAGCATTTATTTTTATGGTGATATTAGTTACGTATTTTGGGGGAATTTTTTTTTCTTCTGGTATCTCATCTCTTAAAAATGAAATCCAATGATATTTAATCAGCAAATTTGGATACCTAAAATGCAAATCACACTTAACATGTCACTACTGAGTCGTCTTTTCTGGGACCAGAATGGAATTATTGTCCACCCTTTAAAGCACTATTTCTATTCAATCTCCTGGCAAATGCTGTAGAGAATAATAGTGTCTGTCTTAATTGTATTTTGGTTCAAGGACCTAAAGTGTTTTCATAATTTAGAGAAGCCCTGTGTTGTTTGTTTTTTCTTCCTGAATGGCCTGAAATGAAGTTGTTTGGTTTTTTAAATAAGGATGACAACTATGAAAGGAAATTGGAAAACATTTTAAAATAAGTTATAATACCGAAATTTAATATTTGTCCTTACATGTAAAGGTTTAAACTAAAAAGAGAAATTCCAAAAGAAAAGCTGGGAACCTAGAGGGCAATAAATTACGAAAAATTTGAAACCATCTTCCTTTAGTAATTTATGTCCTTAAGAATATAATAATTTCTCTTATCTTTTAGCAGTTTGCTTGCCCATGCATACTTTGCAGTTTTTCTTTACAGCCAAATTCTTAGCCCAATAGTTCCAAATTATTCAGAATGAGAGACCATGATGTCAGATTATTCTTTCTTGTTTTGATTAAAGGTTCTACCTGTGTGGAGTATTTTGTTTCTTAACTGTACATTATTGTGTGTGTGTGTGTGTGTGTGTGTGTGTGTGTGTGTGTGTGTCTGTATACCTTAGTTTTATTTAAAAATGACAGAGCCACCTAGCGACTCTTCACCTCTGTTACAGCATACATCTCTGTAGGGATCTGTGGGGTGGACACCCCCTCTAGGGGTTTGGAAGTTACATTTTCATATCTATTTTCAGTCATGTATTAATTAGATACAATTTTTATTGGTCATGGCCTGAATTATTGAGTGTCAAAATCAAAATCATTGTTTTTTGTCCCTGTTTTTTATTTAAACAAAAAAAGCATTCGATGAACTTAAATAAACAGATAAAAACTGGGCTTAAAATGCAAGTTCTTTGTAACAATGTTTTGTTAAATTGCCTTTTACAATATAATCAAGGCAACTGATTAAGGCACCAATGCCAGTATAAAATAAGAATAGACAGTTGCAGACCCTGCTCGGAGGCTCCCACCTGTAATCCCAGCATTTTGGGAGGCCCAGGTGGGTGGATTGCTTGAGGCCAGGAGTTAAGAGACTAGCCTGGCTAACATGGTGAAACCCATCTCTACTAAAATGCAAAAATTAGCTGGGCGTAGTGGTGGCATCTGTAATTCCAGCTACTCCTGAGGCTGAGGCAGGAGAATGCTTGAACCTGGGAGGCAGAGGTTGCAGTGAGTGGAGGTCGCGTCATTACACTTCAGTCTGGGTGACAGAGCGAGACTCCATCAAAAAAAAAAAAAAAAAAAAAGTAGACAGTTGCATGTTTTCATCACTGGAAAATAAAACATTTTGGGAAATTATTCAACCCAAATAAAATATCTCATTTATTTTCCACTGCTGTTTGGTAACATGCTTGTTGCTTCTTTGAAATGGCAGAGCATCAACAGTGAGTTATAATGGAATGTAATTATTTTTAATAAATACCGTAATGGAATATAAAATGTATTACACTCATTAATTTCCAGCCTCCTAGAAATATTGGCACATTAGCGTTTGTTAATATGTCTACATATTTCCAAAGGAAGAAAACAGTAATATGAGTTGAGAATCACCTCAGTGCTCTTAACTTCGAATGGTTGCCATCTTGGACCAACGTCATGCTGGGCACAGAATTGGTCCTTGCCGTCTCAGCACCATGGTTTACTCATATCTGTGGGGAAAAAAAACCCACAGATAGCAATCTAACCATGTCTCCTATCTGGCTTTCTACCTTGCACTAGTTAGTATACTCCTCCGACATCTTCAAGTATGTAAATCAGAAGCTCTTTGAAGATGAATCCTTTTGTGTAATTTTTTTTTTTTTTTTTTTTTTAGATGGGGGTTTCCTCTTTTGGCCAGGCCCCTAAGCTAGGCTGTAGCGGCGCAATCTCTGCTCACTGAAAGCTCCGCCACTCGGGTTCAAGTCATTCTCTTGCCTCAGCCTCGAGAGTAGCTGGGATTACAGGTGCCTGTCACCACGCCCGGCGAATTTTTTAATTGTTTTTAGTAGAGTCGGGATTTCACTGTGTTGCCCAGGCAGGTCTTGAACTCAGGACCTCAAGTGATCCACCTGCCTGGCCTCCCAAAGTGCTGGGATTATAGGCGTGACTCGCCACACCCCGCCTTATAATTTACTTTTTAAAAAACCTTGCACACTATAGGATAAGCAAATATCAATTTTTGAAAAATCAATATCTATCGAATTAATAAACAACTACATTTTTTTTTTTTTTTAAGATGGGGTTTCACCATATTGGTCAGGCTGGTCTCGAACTTCTGACCTCAGGTGATCCGCCCACCTCAGCCTCCCAAAGTGCTGGGATTACGGGCGTGAGCCACTGCGCCTGGCTAATAAATGACTACTTACACACGCCTTGTTGGAACAGAAATGAGCTTATTCAAGGAAGTGTAAAAGTACACACCCACAAAACAAACAAAAACCCAAAATGGAACCTGGGAAAAATGTCAGTAGCAAAAAAGAGTATAAGCATTATCCAATTATGGAGTAAATGCACCACTCTGAAAATAATTTATTATACTGGTGGGAAGATTTTAGAAAATGTCTGCTTTTTGTTTTCAGTACAATATAAGAAAGTTTGGCCTTTATGAAACAAGACGTTAGGATAAGATGAAAAACAAGCAAACTTTGGTGCAAGTAGAGATGAAAAAGGAGGTGAGAAAAGAATGCAAGAAAACTTGAATTGTGATCAGAGAATACAGCTTTTAGCGTAAGAGACCAAAATATGTTAATTAGTGCATTTATTGTTTTGATGAAGAAAGGATGATGTATTTCAGGAAAGATGTGGAGATAACTGAAGCTGATTCCTTATTTGGTGTCATTTTTTTTTTTTCATGGAGAGTCTCGTTTCATCACTTGAGCTGGAGTGCAGTGGCATGATCTTGACTCACTGCAACCTCAGCCTCCCAGGTTCAAGTCATTCCTCTGCCTCCGCCTCTCAAGTAGCTGGAATTACAGGTGCCCACCACCATGCCTGGCTAATTTTTGTATTTTTAGTAGAGAGAGGTTTGCACCATGTTGGCCAGGCTGGTCTCCCGACCTCAAGTAATCTGCCTGCCTCGGCCTCCCAAAGTGCTGGGATTATAGATAGGCAAGAGCCTCTGCACGTGGCCTGGTCATTTTTTTCCAATTTCTTTTTTTAAATTTTTTTGAGACGAAGTTTCACTCTTATTGCCCAGGTTGGAGTGCAATGGTGTGATCTCACCTTACCGTAACTTCCTCCTCCCAGGTTCATGTGATTCTTCTGCCTCAGCCTCCCAAGTAGCTAAGATTATAGACGCCCACCACCACGCCTGGCTAATTTTTTGTATTTTTAGTAGAGATGGGGTGTCACTATGTTGGCCAGGCTGGTGTTGAACCCCTGACCTCGTGATCCACCCACCTCAGCCTTCCAGAGTGCTGGGATTACAGGCTTGAACCACCATGCTCCGCCTGTTTATTTACACCTTTTGACCACTTGGT